GGGATCGGGTGGCCCGCCGAGTCCGTGATGAAGTGGAAGTGGAGGGGGTTTTTCCTGCCAAGGGCAAGCACAGCAGCACTCAGCATCACAGCGGGAGGAAGAGGCCATGGTCCCCATCCCTCCCATGTAACAGACATCAGCTGACGGGGCAGAGGGAGAAAAATCAGCCACCTGGGGCAAACAAAGACCCCTCTGGCCCTCTAAGCAGTGGCACAGGGGGGAACCCCAAACCTCTGGCACAGCACCTCCCCATTACCTGTGGAAGAGGATGGATTTCACCAGGGTGACCACATCCCGGCTCGCGTTGTGCCCGGCGCACACAATCGCAACATGCAGGAGCTGCCCAGAGACAAATGGTGCCTTTTTGAGACTGGACCCCTCCACCCCCACAGGGGCCTGTCAGCTCCTCCCTGGGGCCATGCTGTGGAGAGAGACTCCACAGCCTAGCCCTTGCCCTGGGGAAGGAGCCCCTGGAGAGAGGTGGGAGTACCCTGGCTCAGAAGGGGGGACCAGGAGTCTGGCTACCCTACCACTGCTGTCTGGCCTCCTTCTCCGGAGAAGCAAGACACCCTCACCCACTGGCCGTGGCCCGTTGGGCACCACGGAGAGCCAGGAGGAGGCCCCAGCATGGCCAGAGCACAGGGTGAGCAGTGCCAGGCAGGCTGCACATAGATCCATGATCAGCCAGGGTCCCAGCCTCCCATCTGACATCCCCTATCCACCGTGCCCGTGCCATCACCCACCTCGCACTTGTGCCCCATCCGCTGCTTGGGGCAGGCCGTGCGGTTGCTCCTCTCGCTCCTAGGGGGGTCCCCATCCTCGGCGGAGGCCCCCCACTGCGGGCTGCCATCGCCGCCCTCCGCCTGTGCCTGGCTGAGCTGCAGGCGGAGCTGCTGGTTCTCCTCCTCCCCCCTGCGCACCCGTGAGGCCAGCGCCTCCCGCTCCACGTCCCGGCTCGGCTGCTCGCCCAGGCAGGGTGGCAGCAGGAGGAAGCGGCCATCTGCGGAGGAGACATGCGGCGTGCAATGGGCACAGCACGGCACGGCAGAGCTCGGCCGGGAGGGACCAGGTGTGGATGGTGGGGCAGAGCCCCCAACTGAGAGATCCCGGCACACCCCACGTGTGCCCAGCCAACATCACAGCTCCGCTCCCCCGATCCCCAGGGATGCCCTGGAAATGCAGAGCTCAGATGCACCTGCAGCGACCAGCGTGGCCACAGAGCAGCCTCCCCAAGGCCTTGGCCTCCCCTGCCCACCCACTGTTGGGGACCATCCCTTGATCCGAGGAGGAGGACCCACTCACATTCGAGGCTGCCCACAAAGAGGTAGAGCCAGGAGAGGAGGATGGCCAGGGTCACCGTGGCAAGCAGCAGCTTCAGCTTCACGCGCCAGGAGCGCAACATGGTGTGCTGGCGGGACAGGGGCGGCGAGGATCAGGTGGGCAGCCCCAGCCCGGCTGGCCCCGGCATCCTAGAGCCTGCGGGGGACAGGAGCAGAGAGAGTGGTGTCACCGGCAGCCCTGCAGCCCACACCCAGGTGCCTTGACACCCCCCAGCAGGATGTCCCCCGCCTCCTACTCCCTCCAGGAGCGAGACAGATGCCCTTCACCGCTCCAGCGACAGCCTCTCCCAGCCGGCACCCTCCGGGCATCTGGACCCCCCTCCCGGGATGCCTACCCCACCACCCTGCTGTGCCTGCATGGCTCTCAGGGGGCACCTCAAACATGGGAGGGGGGAAGGAGTCCTCCAAGTGATTTCACCCCAGCTCTGTTCCTTGCTCCTTGCCATCCCACAGGCAGGGGGAAAGACAGAAGGGCTCCCAGGGGAGGGCAGAGGCTGCGCTGGAGAGGCCCTCCCCACCCGGCACGGGGTGGTTAATGGAGCCTGCCCTTGAGAGTGAGCGCGGGTCCCTCCCCCACCGCCTCCGCAGGCCGAAGGGGCCAGGACTGCTCTTGAGAGGAGGCCTCAAGGACACGGCCAGGCCAGGCCGGGGGGGCAGGCAGCCCACGCGGGGCCAAGCGAGGAGCCCAGCTGAGCATGCCGGCTCCTTCCCAGCTGGCCACGCCGGCTCCCTCCCCACCCGGGCCACCCGGC